CACTGAGTTAAATCCCCAACCCTAGTACCTTTAACTTGAGTCTCAAACTTTAAATCTTTTACCCAAAGCAGAGGTGCTTACTAAGTTTTATTCTTGTTGTATATAATTTACAGTTTTATATGATTTAGAGACAAACATTTCTTGAGCTTAAATATGTAAGATATCTTTTCCTCAAGCGCTTAGATCATTGAATAATTTTTATTGCTGGATTTTTTTAATTGATGGATTTTAAGGCTCGTAAAACATTTACTGTGGGTGCTTAGAAACCTGGTACATGGCTAACTCAAGAAGAAAACTATTTTCCACGTTCCTTTGGCAAGGTTTAATTCAGCATAAATCATAAGGTCATTGCAGACCTCATTAGACTGCTTTCTTCTCTTGTCAAATGCCCAGTGTCCTCTAAGTCAGGGCTGTTTATCTTATTTTTGTTCTTCTGTCTTCACCATAGCCTGGGGAAGAACTTTCTCTTCATGAGCTCTGAAAATGAGAGAAATGCGGCAGGATGACAAGCAGCAGTGCAGTGTCATGGCCCAGATGCAGATTTGGGAATCAGATGTACACTCGTTTTCCTCCTTGCTAGCTGTGTGACCTTGGCAAATTAGCCTTTTCAGTGACGGGAAGATCATAATAGCAGCTGCCTAGCGTGTTTGTGAAGGTTGAAAGTAATGGTTTCTGCGAAGGGTGAGAGTTGGAATGGTCTGAGAAGAGCCCAGCATCTGTAAACAACTTGTAATAGCTAGTGCTGGTAGTAGCAGTAGTAATGGGGACAGCTAGAAAATAGTTTTATTTTGTCTAGTTGTTTTTGCTCTGGCAAGCAAGACCTACTGCTTTGAATGACGTTTATGTTTTATTTTATATTTTGTTAAACCACTGTTTTGCCACAGATTTTAAGTGATAGACATTTTAATTAATGAACTGTTTTGCAGTGCTGGCCTTGAACCCAGGGCTTGTGCACTGAGCTATCATACATGTCCAGCCCTCTTACTGTTTTTTATCTTGGACAAGATATCATTAAGTTGCTGAATTGCCCAGGCTGGGCTTGAATTTGTGATGCTCATGCCTTAGTCTCTCAGAGAGCTGGGATTACAGGTGTGTCACTGTGCCCAGTTCGTGATTTAATTTGAAAAGAGTTTACTGATTTCTGTGTTAACATGTGGACCCCTGATGATGAAGGCTAAGTTTCATTAATCTTTATTTTCTCCCCAGTGCCTTGCTCACAGGAAGACTTATGTGAGTATTTAGAACATTCCCTAGAGCAGTTTGTGGTTATTTGCAGGTGTGGGTCTGGTTTGCAGTTGTAAGTCTGCTCTGCTGCTGGGTGCACAGTAATCCAAGGGGTACAGCAACTAGCGGTTGATACTGATTTTATTCTCAGGCTTCTTCCACATTTTCTCCTTGAGATACCTTAGCTGCCCTCATGACTCCAGGTACCACTTTGTTACTGAGAACCTCTAATGTATGCCTATGTCAGCTGTGTTTAGGGTCTCTTCACCTGCATGTCCAGTATATACACCCAAGCTGGCTCTCCTCTCAGCCTCCCTTTTAGCAGTCCCAGTTTTGATTCATGCTCCCTCAGTAGCCACTGGGCACCTGGCCAAGAATTGGATGACTGTTCTTGACTCCTTCCAGCTATAGCTAATGCTGCTGTAATAGTTTTCAGTTGAAAACCCTTTCCTTTGCTTGTATACTTTGGCCTCAGTTTACAGCCTTATTCTCTGCCTGTCTAGAATGATGACAGGTGTCATTTTCAAATTTCTCTTTGGTTCTTCTTCTACACTGTCACCCCCAGAATTCTCTTTCTAAATTACAGATGTTACAGTAACTTTCTGGCTTACAAACTTGGTGGTTTCCTGTTGCTTAGGGTAAGATTCAGTAAACTATAACCTGTGGGCAACTCTGGCCTTCTGCCTGTTTTATAAATACAAATGGTGTTGGAACATAGTCATGCCCATTTGTTTATGTTTTGCGTGTGGCTGCTTTCATACTGCAACAGCAGAGTTGTGTAGTTATGACAAGGGTTTTATGGCCCCGAAACCAAAGTGTGTAAATTCTGGTTCTTTTTAGTACAGGTTTGCTCTCATGCGGCTTAGAGGGTAGAGTTCTTACTTGAGTAGGCTAAAAAAAATATATTCATGACGCTGTTCTAAACAGGTTCTGATCATTAACATTCTCTGAAATATCCTACATCTTTGTTGGCTCGTAAGTCTGCATATTTTATTTTGTTATCTGACAATTTGTGCTTCAAAACCCATCTCAAATTTATATAAATTTGTTACAGTGTTTCTTTGCCCCAAGCTGTCCTTGACCCATCCAGTTGGAGCCCTAAAAGAGGAAGACCTCAATTTATTTCATAAATCAGTGTGTGGAAAAGCCATTCAACTGCTTATAGGGCTAGTTATACTAGGTTAGTGTGTAGGAAATGAAGATTATGATGAACTTCTTGTAGGAAATGATTTTCACTATTTTAACCTTGAAGCATTATCTTAAATTGATAGCAACTGTCCTTATTCTTGCTTGTAAGCAGTTAATATCTAATCTTTTCATTAACAATTGATAAACATGTTTGTAGAATATCTTGATCAAATGTTCCCATGTTGCCTTTTGTTTTAATATTGACTGATCACCTTGAAATTGTGAGACTTGGTTTTATACTTTGTTACAGTATGTTTGGAAAGTCCCTTTTGCACTGGAGGAACTCAGAATGTATCAGGCAGCAACTGGAATCTCTTCTTTCCATTTAGCTGGGTTTTTTTGTTTTTTCATTTTTCCTGGCTACCATCGAGTTTTCTTCATGAGTTTCCTTTCTGGGTGAGTCAGGAATTGAAAGGGAATTTAAAGTGTTTGGGATTTTGTCTTGTGACCCACTCTATCCCTGATTTCCCGTCTCAATTTCTAGCTGCTCCATCCTTAACATCTGAAGCCAGTAAGATAGAATTTTTCCTTGAATTTTAACCACTTTGTGTCGTAGGAATTCCCTGTGGTTGGAAGTGGGAGAAAGCTGTGCAAAAGTGTGTCCTGCTAGGCTTGGTGGCATAGGCCCATAATCCCAGCACTTGGGAGGCAGAAGCAGGAGAATCTCTTGAGTATGAGGTAAGCCCAGGCTACATGGTGAGTTCAAGGCCAGCCTGGATTATAAAGCAAAACTGTCTTCCCATCCAAAAAAAAAAAAAAAAAAAAAACCAGAAATGAACAAATAGACAAATGGCTCCTACTCGTGTTTTTTTCCTGTCAAGAGTCAAATCCCTTCCAGATTTTGTCTGCTTTCTAGTACCCTAGTGCTTTTAAATAGTTTTCATATTTGTTGTTTTTAGAATTTATGGTGGCTCTAAATCACCCGTTTGGACACAGTCTGTCTGTGTTTTAAAAAATTTCCCTAATATGCCATCCTTTTGTCTTGATTTTTTTTAAACCGGGACTTGAACTTATGACCTCGCACTTGCCAGGCAAGTGCTGTGCCACTGAGCGAGATCCCCAGCCCTTGTTTTGTTTTTCACAGGTATGCCCCACTGTGCTTGGCCATGTCATTCTTTATTTACATTATTTTTCTCATTTCTGACCTTTGTTACCTACTACTACATCATAGATTGAACTGCAAAACCTGGTGGCTTAAAACAGTCATTTTATTTTTTGTTTCCTGGATTCCGTGGGTCAGGAATTTAGGAAGGGCACAGCCAAAATGATGTATCTCTGCTCCATACGTTTGGCATTTCACACAGGAGAGCTCAAACTGATGTCATGGCGAGGATAGGACGACATAGCCCTGTCTTTATTCGCACATTGGCAGTTGATGGTGGCTGTTGGCTGGGACCACAACTGAACTGTGGGCCAGAACACCTTACGTGGTCTCCTCACAGCATGGCACCCCTGGGTTTCTGCAGGTGACTCAGGACTTTACAATTACTGTTCCAGATAACCAGGTGAGTGCTGCATTGCCTTCCATGACCTAATCTTGGAAGTTGTGTTGCAGAAATTACATAGCATAGTTTCCTGTATTCTGGCTAACTGGTTTTTCTTGTTGACTCAGTTCAAGTGGTAGAACATAGCTCCACCTGTCAGTGGGAAAAGAGTCAAGGGTTATATGTTTTAATTTGTTTTTTGATCCTGGAAATCGAACTCAGGGCCTTGTGTTGCCAGGCTGTGTTTTGTCAGTGAGCTAGCTCTCTGGCCCAAGGATTTTTTTTTAATGCTGTAGGAGATTGACTTCCAAGTCTTGTGGTAGGATGTGCACTACCACTGCGCTGCCCTTCTAACCCCACAAACAGGCGTGAAAACCTCAGTGTCCATTTAGCATATAGCAAGCTCCCTCTTGTGTCTAAGCACAGTCCTACATTTATCTCAATAGGAACTTATTGAAATACTGATTTTTTTCTTAATTATAATAGAATAGGCCCTAAAATAGCTTAAAGCTTTTTTGGTCCTGGGAATCGAACTCAGGACCTTGCACTTGTGCCACTGAGCTAAGCCCCCAATAGCTTAAAGCTTTAAGAAGGGAATAAGAAACAGATATAGTAGCACATACCTAATTTCTCAGAAGACTGAGACAAAAGGATCACAGCTTCCTTTTGGGCAACCCAGCAAGACTCTGCCAAAATAAATTTTTAAAAAAGGAGTTCAGGGATGTAACTTAGGGATAAAATGCCCCTAGGTCTGATCCCCAGTACTACTAAAACAAAAAGTAAGATATTTCATTTCCTTCATACTGACCTAAGTCCCTTTAAAAATGTGTTTTATTTTGAGACAAAGCCTTGCTAGTCATTAAGTTACCCAGGTTGGGTTTGAACTGTTTTTTCTTTATTCTTTTTTCTGAAATGGATGGTCTTACTTTCTAGTGCAAGCTGACCTTGAACTCACTATGTAATGCAAATTGGTCTTGAATTTGCAGTGATCCTCCTGCCTCAACCTCCTGAGTGCTGGGGTTACAGGTGTACCACCATGCCCAGTGGATATTTCACTTCTTAGAAACATTTCCTTAGTTTGATAACTTTGTGTTTTGTTTGTAGGATACAGTATTTAATGAAAAATCCATGTTTGAGCAATAAAAATGGCAGGCTTCCTAGATAATTTCCGATGGCCTGAATGTGAATGTATTGATTGGAGTGAGAGAAGAAACGCCGTGGCTTCCGTGCTCGCAGGCATCCTGGTAAGTGAGAAGGCCAGTTGGTGACTTTTACTTTTTATTTTTCATGTTTTGCTCTGGAAATTGGTGTTGATTCCTTTGGACTGTGAAAACTCTTCCAGGTACTGTATTTCCCTGATGTTTTCAGTAGATAATTATCAGGATTCTAGGTGCTGTTACAGAACAGGGTCTGCCCTGGTTTGTTTTGGTAAATTCATTACATTTACTACCTTTTCTTCAGTTCTAGTGGTAGCGTGTTATGATTTTCAGCTTAGTGATACAGTATATGTGTGAGTACTTTACCGTCCTCAAAAGCTCAGCATTTGATGTAACACAAGGTGTTGTGACTCATTGACAGTCAGGTTGTGTAGACAGCAGAAGCACCTCTGGCTTCATTAGAACAGAAGCTGTGCCTGCTCTAGGGAGGCCATAAGACTGTGGATTTATCAGGGAAAACTGAACTTTTCAACCTGGATGTTCCTTGACTGTACCCCTTCTTTCCTCCCTTTCCTATACCAGCTTCACCCTCTGTACCAGCTGCACCTTGTGTGATAACATCAAACAGCTTTGCTACATCCCTCCCAGCTGCCAGGCCACCTAGATGTGCAGAGCTGTAAGCCTGGCATCTTTGAATAACTGCCATTGTTCTGCTTCTGTATGTTAGCCTGCTCCACAGCTCCACAGAGGCCCTGTACAAGGCCTGCAAACCTCATGCTTGGGCTTGGACTTTGGGGTGCTGAACTCTTTTGGGCCTGCTGGCATAATAAATTTTGATTCTCTCCACGTCTCAAGAGTGCCACTCAGTTTCTTCGCCTCTGGTGAGCTAAGATTGCCGTAGCGATTTCCTTAGCTACAGTTTAGGGAAACAAAAGAAGAAATTTGTGGAGGAAACCATGAGTTTATTTATTTTTTTGTGTTTCTGAGACATGGTTTCGTTGTGCGGTTCAGGCTGGTCTTGAACTCACGGTGAGCCTCCTGCCTCAGGGATTGTAGATGTGTTTAATTTTCTTCATTTTTAAAATTTTGAAATTCTTCACGGGGCTGGGGATTTAGCTCAGCGGCATAAGTGCCTGCTTTGCAAGCAGGCAGTCGTGAGTTCGATCCCCAGTACCGGTAGAAAGGAAAAAGACAAAAAAAAAAAAAACAAGAAATTCTTCACATTTTGAAAATGTGAAGAACATTTTCAAAAATAGAGGATGCTATAAAGATCATCCCTTGCTGGTCTCAAAAAAAAAAAAAAAGATCTTTTTCTTCTTACCCCTTAAATTTATCATCCAGCTTCAAAAAACAGAACAAAGCAAAAACCAATCACAGCTAGTCTTGCTTTTATCATGCTATCAACCACTCCTTGTTTCCTCCTGCTTGTTTTAATACAGGTTTCAGCATGTCTTACAATTTTTAAAATTCATTTTTTTCAATGTATACTTCTGCTACTGGAATCAAATAGAGAAAAACTAGATGAAGTAGGGTAAAGTAGGAACTGAAGATAATTGTAAGGAAGTCTGAGTGCAGATTTCTTTTAGATGTCTTTTTTCTTTTCTTCATTTTTTTTTAAACATGCTCCATGACTGTGTTCATTAATATTTACAGGGAGGGCAGGATTGATCTCAAGTGAAATTAGACTGGCTTCTTTATATTAAATGATTTTCAGATTTTTCAGTTATTTCACTTCATAGAGTTTGGACACTATTCATGCATGGTTTTTAACAATTCAAAATGCTCTGGAGAGCCAGGCTATTTAACCTGACCTGCTGTAGCAGGCGCACTACCCCACAAGTTTAGAATACACAACCCAGTGAGGATCCTAACTCCCCCAGGTGTCTCTTTACTTAGGGCACCCTGGCCTTTGACGAGGGAATGTGGAAAGTGCTTTGGCCAAGCACCAGATAGATGGTTGACTTCTCTCTCCTTGTTCCCTGCCACCTGCTGTCTGTATCGAGCAAATAAATGTGTTTGTCATCTCAGCAGGAGGCCTCCACATAGCTGTACCTTGGTCTTGAATTTCCCTTGCCTAGGGACAGTGTCTCTTTACTATTTTAGGCTGCTCTTGGACACCTATGTTAGCTATCTTTGCATCACTATGACAGAATACCTGAGAAGAACAGCTTAGAGGAGGAAAGATTTATTTTGGCCTACAGTTTCAGAAGTTTGTGATCACATGGCTTCATTGCTTCAGGCCTGTGGCAGGCAGAAACATCATGGTGGAAGGGAATGGCAGGCACCAGCTGCTTACCTCATGGAAGCCAGGAGCAGAGGATGACAGACTGTGAGAGAGCTAGAGAAAGGGACGGGTCCTTCACCGGCCCTACCTGCTAACAGCCCATTCAGTCCTGAACTCATCATTTTATCCACTGATGAGGGCAGTGCCCTCGTGGTCCAGTTGCTTACATAGCAGTCCCCTTCTCTGAACATTGCTGTACTGGTGATCACGTCTTCACAGTGAGTCTTTTGGGGAAGATTTTAGATCCTAGCCACAAAGTGGGAAGTGGATATGAGGGAGCTGAGGGAGCCTAACACTGAATGCAGTGGTCATTGGTTGGTGGCTGAAGGAATGGGAGAGTTTATTGATGTCTGGGCCACGCAGCTTTGGCCTATATGCTCATCAAGGCCTGTAGTGTATAAATGACAACCAATGGGTTTTTAAATTTTTTTTTAAATCAGACTTTATTGATACATTTTAGATACACATAAAGATCATTTTAACCAAAGTGTTTAGCTAGATTAAAAATGTTACAAACATTTGCTAAAAAGTACATTAAATATGAGGATTGTATATTCACTGTTTATCAGGACTTTAGAAGAAAACCATCACATTTGCATTTAATTTGTCTTAAGAAATTCCGAAGCAACTTGTCTATGTTAGATCTGTTCCATTTATGTGGAACTGTTCAGCTTGTTTAACTAGAAACATTTTACAAATTCATGTTGAGTCAGTTATACAACATTAAATGACTTAGCTAAGATCAGAGCAGGTGAAATAGTTCTGAAGACTGGGCGTAGTGGTGCAGGCTTGTAATCCCAGCACTTGGGCAGCTGAAGCATGAGGATTGCTGCAATTTTGAAGCCAGCATAGGCTACAAAGTGAGTTCAAGGCCAGTCTGAACTTCATAGCAAAACTCCGTTTGTGTTTTCTAAATAGTTTTGGATATGTGACAACTGACTTTTGTTAAGCATGCATTGTATTTGTGGAAACAAAACTGCTGGAAGATGTTAGTAATGTTGACTGGAGAGAAGACATGCTTCAGATAATCAGGGAGTTGGTTCTTCTGGAGTTTAGTTAAGAGCTTCCCCTCCAACTAAGTATGGTGGCTGGAAGAAGTAAAGAAGCCATTCCCAAATATAGTTATGGTTCTGTCTTGCTCTAGGAACAGAATTTCAGAATCTTACTCCAGTTTGAGTCATCTGCAATAAAGAACAGGTAAACAAGGGATTGTTTTGTATTTCAGTATCCAAAAGTCAAAAGTAGAAGTCTTTGTTTCCTGTATAGGAATAGAAGAACGTTACTCCAAGAAGAGTTTAGTGTTGTAATGTCTCGGGCTGTGGCTTCAGTTTTTTACAGGTTGGTGGATAATGATTGATGCAGCGGTGGTCTATCCCAAGCCGGAACAGTTGAACCATACTTTTCACACCTGTGGTGTGTTTTCCACGTTGGCTTTCTTCATGTAAGTATTAAGGTAATTCTCAATTTAAGAATTTTTAAAAATATTTTTCCTGGGGCTGGGGATTTAGCTCAGTGGTATAAGCACCTGCCTTGTAAGCGGGCGGTCGTGAGTTCGATCCCTGGTACCGATAAAAAGAAAAGAAAAAAAATATTTTTCCCCTAGTGATCAGTGATTTCTTTTTTTTTTTTTTTTAATTTTTTTGATCAGTGATTTCTTGAATAACTTCAATTTTATTGATAAATTTCTTCTTTAACACTATACATTTGTGTTTTCAGTAGATTAAGGTTGTTTTTGTGGCACTGGCGGTTGAACCTGGGTATCATGGGTAGTAGATGAGCACTTTATTACTTACGTATTTTGAAAGGCCAGAAATAACCCATGACATGTAGTATCAATTGATTTTATGTTTTTTTTTTTTTGTACTGGGACTCAAACTCAGGATGTTACACTTGCCAGGCAGGCACCATGCCACTGAGCTGTATTCCCAGCCCACAGCACTTACGTATTTTGAAATACAGTCACCTTAAATTGGCTAGACCAACCTGGAACTTGTACTCCTCCTGCCTCAGTTTCTTGAGTAACTGGAATTGTGTGTATATACCACTATACCTGTGTTTTTTGTTTTTTTTTTTTTTTAAACTGAGAATGAGTGCTAAATTTATCTGTCTTGGTTACTTTTTTCTTGTTGCTGGGACAAAATACCTGAAACTCAATGTTAAAGGAAGGTTGGTTTATTCATTTAGCTCACAGTTGGTGGAGGTTTCAGTCTGTGATCAGTTAACTCCAAGGAGGGGTGACTTGGCAAAGGGGCAACAGTTCAAGGCAGCAGAACACAGCATAAGCAGTAAGAGCAAAAGAGTGGAGAACAAGCCTCTTTTTCTGCCTTATATTGTAAACAGGCTTCCTCCCTTTCTCCTGGGTTGGTGTAGCATTCACATCATCTTGGTGCACTCTTCTTGCACAGAGTGAGGATGTTCACAAAGTAAGGATGCTAGCTCCCGGCTGAGTGGCTTAGTTAATTTTTTTAATTAATTTTATTTTGAAAGTAGTAAAATACAACAGAACAAGACAGAATAAAGCCAACTGAGACAGTATAGTGGAATTGGTACAGAACTTCACAGCAGGTTACCGGGATAACAGTAATAGGTATCACAGTATATATCATTATCTTTACAATAGTTGTTCTTTCAATCATGTATATCAAAATAAAATGAAACACAGAACATTATAGAACTTATCAAAACAGAGTATTAAATAGAGCAGTACCATTAATCTATTAAATAGAGCAGTACCATTAATCAGAATAGAGCAAAACAGTAATAAAAAGAGATGGTAGAAGGAAATCCCCCTTATTTGCTGTGGTCAACCTCCCAGGAGATGCTTAGATTTCTGGTTCCTATATGCTAACTGGAGGACAGGAGAAGGGGGGTAAAGGAAGTGGGATGCTTGACTCTAGGCCGTGTACCGGTAGGTTCACTATTGCTTAGCAGGGAGGCGGGTTGGTTGCTTGGTTTCCCAACTTCATAAGTTCCAAAATGGTGTGGAACACACTGGTGGTTCTCCCCCTGGAGGGGCCGTAGTCTGCCACACTGCAGCCACTTGCCAGGGAGGGGAGCTGCTTGCTTGATTTCCCAGGGTCCTAAGTTCCAACAAGGCATGGATCTCAGGAGACACTGGTGGTTCTTCCCCTGGAAGGCCACAGTCTGCCACACCACCACTGCTTACCAGGGAGGGGAGGTGCTTGCTTGGCTTCCCAGTGTCCTAAGTTCCAACATAGTGCGGATCTCAGGAGCTGCTGGTGGTTTTTCCCCCTGGAAGGGCCACAGTCTGCCACACCGCAGCCGCTTACCTGGGAGGCGAGCTTCTTGCTTGGTTTCCCAGTGTCTTAAGTTCCAGCATGGCACAGATCTCAGGAGCTGCTGGTAGTTCTCCCCCGGAACGGCTTAATTTTTATGAACTTCTCAAGTTGATACCATATATCAACCATTATATAAGTCAGGTACCTTTTTTGGTGGGAGAGGTTTAGACAAGGTCTTGCTCTGTAATGCAGGCTGACCTTGAACTTACTATGTATACAGTTCAGGTTGACCTCAAACTCACAGGATTCTTCTGCCTCAGCTTTCTGAGTAGTGGGATTCCATAATGTAATATTCCATGTGCTACCATGCCTGGCTACAGAAATCTCTTTTTTTTTTTGGTACCAGGGATCGAACTCATCTTATGCCATTGAGCTAAATCTCCAGCCCTCCAGAAATCTCTTAAAATAAATGTTTTCTGGGTATACCTTAGGAGAAAAAAAGACTAATGTAATATTTCTGTCCAATAGAATTTTTTTAAAGATATGTTTAAATATTGGCCTTTTAAAGGAAGTAATCTGTTTTCTTCTAGGTAAATGTGTTAATAACATCAAAGCTAATTGGATGACTTTGTTTTGTTCCAGGATAAATGCTGTGTCCAATGCACAGGTGAGAGGCGACAGCTATGAAACAGGCTGTCTAGGAAGAACAGGTAAAGGCATTGTGACTATTGCTGGATATAGGCAACACAGGGCGTACAGGCACATGAGCAGCAGGCTTCAAATAACCAAAGCCCCATATGAGTCTTTATTCAGGACTGGTATGAATGATGTGTTTTAGTTTTTTAATCGATACTGGGCATTGAACTCATGATCATGTGCTTGCAAGGCAGGCGCTTATGTCACTGAGCTAAATCCCCAGCTCCTAAAAGTTTTAGTTGTATTTAAATCCTTCTGAAAGTTAAAGTAACTGTTTTTGTCATATTATGATGCCCAAAGTATAGATAAAATTTTTCTGTTCAAAAAATCAGTGGGTCTGGTGCATGCCTGTAATTCCAGCATGTGGGAGGCTGAGGTAGGAGGATCCTGTGAGTTTGATGCCAGCATGGGCTACAGTAAAGTGGGTTTAAGCCAGCCTGAACTGCAGAGTGAATCCTGTCTCAAAAAGACAAGCTGGGGATATAGCACTGTGCCTGCCTGGCAAGTGTGAGGTCCTGAGTTTGAGTTCCGTTAGTAAAAAAAAAAACAAAAACAACCCCCCCCCCCCAAAAAAAAACAAGCCCCCCAAAACAATGCTTTATAGACTCCAGGTTATTCTTCTTTTGTACCAGGGATTGAACTCACGACCTCCTGCTTGCCAGGCAGGCGCTTATGCTGCTGAGTTAAATCCCCGGCCTCCAGGTTATTGTTGTAGTGCTGAGGATGGGCTTAATCTTACCCATGATGCTGGCCAGTAATGTTCTTTACTGATAACTTTATCAGTAAAGCAATCTCACAGTTGCTTTGGCACAGCTAGGACTACAGCGCTTTTCACCTTCAATTCTGACTGCGTGAATAGCCATCTACAGATGCCAGTGAAATTGTGTATAAGAAACTTGCAGTTTGTCTACAAATGAATTAATTTGTGGCTTGAATTCTTTTGAATTGCTATACAATGGTGTTTTTCTTTATTTAGGTTATAACAGATTCTCTTAGGATCCAGGAGTTTGTTCTCAGTGGAATTTCAGTGCTCCATGTAAAAAGCACACAGTGGAAAGTACTGTTTCTAATCTTTAAGGAGCAGGAAAAGTGATTTGTGGTCACAGTTGGAAGTCTGTAGTAGGTGGGAGAGGAATTTTGAAGGATGATTAAGAATAACCAAATATTTGTTAGAATAGTTAACATATGTCAAAGACTGCCCTGAATATGTGCCAGTATTAGCTTCTTAGCTCATAGTATTAGCTCATTAGCTCTATGAAGTAAATGTTCTCATTGTCCTTTTCTGTTGTTATTTTTTGAGTCAGGTCATCCTATGTTCTTCAGGTTGGCTGTAGGCTTACTGTGTAGCCCAGGTTGGTCTCAAACTTGTCATCCTCCTGCCTCAGTCTCTCAAGTACTGGTATTATAGGCATGTTTCACCTTGCCTGGTACATGTCTTCATTTTTAGATGCAGGAGCTAAGGATAGAGGTCTTACATAGCTTGGCCAAAGTCACAGAGCAAGTGGTAGATCTGAGCACGTCTGGACCCAGGGGCTATGCTTTTAGCTGCTATTCTCTGTATGTTGCCAGCCCAGAGCCATTTGGTCCCTTTGGTTCAGTGCCATATGGTATCTTCTATTTCTTTTGGGCTGCTTGAGTATAATTTATGTACAGTAAAACATACAAATTTAAAAGGTACAGTTTAGTGAATTTTAATAAATGCTTACAGAACATGTCCATTTCTTTCAGTGTGTCCTTCTACCCTTTTGAGTTAGTTTCCTTTCCTTACCTCCTAGCTACTACCCATCTGCCTTTTATCACTATAGTTTTGCTTTTTCTATAATTTTGTATCATTGAAATTCTACAGTTAGTATCATAATGTTTTATATAAGTACCCTGTGCTAACAGATTTCACCACTTTATCTCTGAGTGTAGCAGAAAATGCCCCCTGGCCCCAGCCAGTATACTTCAGTTTGTTAGTTGCCCAGGTAATAGTTTCTGGTTCCAGATCTAGTTGCTCCTGTCTCTTAGAAGCTACAGGTCACTGTGATGCACACTTCATAAATCATTCCTCAATTGACAAGCCATTTTGCCTCTGTACCTCCTGCTTGCTTATCTCAGATAAGCCCTAGACCATCAGGATTAGAGTCTGATATTTTGGGAATGATCCTGATCAATGCCTGTCCATGTAAGTGAATTTGCCTCCAAATCCTGGGTGTTATTTTGGTGTTTCTGCTTGCCATTGCATCTGGTGCATTAGCTGGGAAGACTGACTTTTCTGACCTCTTTGGTCATCAGTCATGGCCCTTGTACATGGAGCAAGGGTTTCTCCAGGTCCTTGATGGGAAGGTGTGCCCTTGAGATTTCTGGAGTCCCCTTGGAGATCTGAAGGAGGATTTTCAGTTCCCTACTCAAGCAGCTTGCATCAAAATCCAAAGGGAGGAGCACCCAATGTCTGTCTATCTGTCTGTCTGCCTGCTTGCCAGCTTGATTCTGGTAAAACCCCAAGGGGCACCCCAGTTAGTCTGTTAGCCTTACTCAGTGTGAGCAGAAGAGATTAATCAACTCTTGTTAGTTAAGGCCACCTTCAAAGGATAGGAGGTTGGAATGTTGAACCTCTGAGTGCTTGTTGAATGAATGTGTGAGAAAGTGGCCCAGACAGCATAAGCAGTATGTTGCTACATCTGTGCACCAGGACTTGGAAGCACTGGTCATGGTAATTGATTGGGCCCTCACCTGTGGTTCTGTAGCAATCAACATATGGCATAATGGAGGCCCTGCACCCTCCTTAGCTAAGTCACACTTAAGTCCCTGTGAGGGGCACAGCCAGGTGGGCATCTGAATGGTCTCTCTCTGAGGGGCACCCACCCTTTGTCTGTTGTGCCATTGTTTAGGAGGCCACAACATAGGGAGATAGAATTAGTGAAAACCCAAATTCCTTGACTGCAAGAAAAGGGGCTTTTAGAATTAAAAATGAAACCAAACTGCTCCCTGCATCTAAAAAAAAAAAAAGGGAAAAAGAGGCACATTCTTCCTGAGAATTCACCCATGGCACCACCTGTAACTTCACTTCTCACTGCCAACTCGCCTGCTTCCAGCCAGTTGAAACCATTTCAGTTCATTGCTGCATTCAGCCGAAGAGGCCCTCCAGAGACATATTTATCTAGAATGGATGGTATCATCTAACACTCACCTGAGATGACTGTTGACACTTCCTTCTGACATACACATTCAGACTGAGGACAATTGGACTGTCAGCTCTGACAAATGAAGTGTGCCTTGTTGGACCTGAATAGATAGAACAGATTGAACTCTTATCAAATCAGGTTCCTGAGAGCTTGTGGTCATTACAGAAGTCAGAGATAAACCTGTGACTTCCCTGGGAGGCAATGGAACAGAACTCTCTGCCTTCAAAATTTCCCTCTCTAAAAAAGTTAACATCATTGGGGGAACAGGGGCTCTTGTGTCTCGCCCTTTCTGCCAGCCACAAACTTGCAACCTGAGACATTGCCTTCATACCTAGCCAGTCAGCCTCACTCTTGTTTAACCCTCTGACTGTTCTCTGAAAGGAAAATGATGCCTGCATCAACCTGAGACAGATAACTGCAATCCTGAAGTTCTCAAAACTCTCTTCCCAGAGGCAGAGACTTAAAGACTCACCTCTGGGCCTGGACATCAACAGTGTTGCCTCACCTTGACCCTAGATATCATGAAAAGCACAAATAGTCATCCAGCCACACATCAGTGTGATAGACTGATAATCACCTCGGGCAAGAGCACTGTGCTGTCACCAACACAGAAGAGATGCCTTCCTCTATTTGTGAGTTGCTCCCATAAGCTCCTTCAACTGGGAAGATGCCACGATAAAAGGCCAGCTCACTTGAACTCAGTTGCCATAGCGATTAAAAGCTTTCCCACCTTGGTTCTACATCTTGGTCCTGCATAACAAGAAAGCAATCCTAGTCATCAAAACAAACCCACAAGGCCATCTGAGAGGCTGTCAGGTTCAGCCCAAGCCAGAAAATCTTTACCCTTTTCTGCCCAAGGACCCCAAGTCTGACCTGGGTCCTTCATACATTCATCAGTCCCAGGCTGCTCTGCCAGCCTCAGTGCTACCACCGCCCATTCTGTCTCCTGCACCACAGCCTCCTGCTCTACTGTTAGCAACTCCTTCTGACTCAGTTTAATGGTGAAGAATGTCACCATATTTATATATGGGGTTCATGCCTGGTTAAAGTCAAAAGTCCCTACCACTGTGATTGATACTGATACTTGGGTGAACACAGTCCTCCCCTGAATACATCAAAACTGGGGCTGTAATGCAACAGAGGGCCATGAAACCGTAAATCAGTACCACACTGCTCTCCTGGTAGACCTAAGAGAGAGGTAAAAAGCCAATAAACATATCTAGAATTACCCACTGGAGACCCCACTAAAAAAGAAATTTTACCAAAGCAGATCCTGTGAGATTGATAGATACTTTATCAAACGTGAATTCCTGTACACGCTTGAGTGCCCTATACCTATCCTGGGATGTGACCAGCCTCCCTTACACTTGAGTTCACTGTGCCGGACTTGATTTGGACTCTGACTGTACCTGGGGAGGAAGAATGGTGCCTGCATTGGCCCAAATGCCTGATAATATCTGTATATGTTGCCTCTGTCTTCTGACACTTACAGCCTGCTTGGACCTCAGAATGCCCTTCTTCTGCCTTGGATTGGTTCATGTCAGCCAGCCCTCTTTGCAACTGACCTGGATTCAACCTCCCAGAGGTTCAGAAACTTGTGACTTGTGTCCTCTTTTTTTTTTTTTTTTTTTTTTTTTTTTTTTGTCTTTTTCCTTTTTATTGGAACCGGGGATCGAACTCACGATTGCCTGCTTGCAAGGCAGGCGCTTATGCTGCAGAGCTAAACCTTCAGCCCCGACTTGTGTCCTCTTTGAAAAGCATTTCTGGGGGGCTGGGGATTTAGCTCAGTGTCATAAGCGCCTGCCTTGCAAGCAGGCAGTCGTGAGTTCAATCCCTGGTACCGATAA